GCAACATAAAGGAAAGAGATAGAAAGGATTCCCAGCAGCAAGGGAGTGTGTCACAAAGGACGGGGGTTTATATACCCAGTTACGTGCACCAACAGAAGGTCATTTTGCATCACTTTAAGCATTCATGTGCTCACTATTTGCAGTATGTGTTTAGCAGTGGGAAAAGTGGAGATGTATAATCTGCTGTAGAAGTCTAGGGAGAGGAAAAAGTAATTCCATTTAAGTGAGGGTGGGCATATCAGAGGTTCATGAAAGAAGGGCCTTTTGAGCTGGGATTTGGGAAACAATTAGCATTTCTGTGAGTAGGAAAAGAAATTTGGGTGGTGGGATTGCATGAGCAAAGACTGAAGACCAAGCTGTTCAGAGTGTTTTAGTGAAAGAGCAGAGTCCAGTTTTGTTGAAGTAAATGTAGTGCATGGAGGAGAACAATGTGAAATAACTTTGTAAAAATAAAACCATTAAACCTTATTATATCAGTTTTAGAAGAAGTCTTAGTGGTGGTCGCTTCTAATTTTCTTGTACAGTCAAAGAATCAGGGTAGGCTAAAATAAGGTGATGGAAAAGCTTGAATGCAATTCATATATTAAATAAATATTATATATTAGGTGGACATAGGAAGGTCCAGCAGTACTCTGCAGCTGCCTCCGTTTAGTGCTCACAGGCTCTGTACCTAACAACTGACTATATTACTGTGCTCTGGTGTCAGTACTGAGACTAGCAATGTATCAGTTCCATTTAAGATAGAAAAAGTTAATGATTCCAGAAGCGTAAGTGAACAGTGTGCCTGAACCCGTTTCTTTTTCCCCAGCCCATGATGCATATAGATACCCAGGCCCCTAATCTGGACCTTTATACCACTGTCTGTCCCTCCCAGGAAATATTTTTCAAATGATGTGTTTCTTGGAATATGTTCTTTGAGATGTTCATATGTTCCCTCCAAAAGGACTCTGATTAAATAATAGGGACAATGTATATACCATATTACCTTCTTGAAGTTTCACTGTGAGCCTGACATATTAAAGACTGAGAAATTCTGAAGAAACTTATTTAACTTGTTTTAACCCAGTATGTCCTGAGTTTATTTGGTAGGTTAACCTTTTTTTTTTTTTTCATGGAATAATCACTAACATCTGGAGGAACACTAACATTTCATCAGATTCATTTTGAGAAATGGTTCCATAATATGTATTTTAGCTAATCTTAACCCCTAGTAGTTTCTTTTGTGAGCTCTTTTTTCTATGAGCAAATAGCAGGTTTTCCTAAAGTTTCTAATATTTTTCTTTAGCCAGAAAAGCAGGAAAAGCTGAGTCCTAGAGTCGCTGTGAGTTGGAACCAACTTGACAGCACCTAACAACAACAACAGAGATTCTGGAATACTATTCTGTGGGCAGTGAGGAACTACTGAAGCTTTTAAGCAAACAAGTTGCAGGATTGGATTTGGGATTTTAGGAGAACTAATCTGGAAGCATGGAGTCCTAGTGGCGCAGTGGTTAAGAGCTCGGCTGCTAACCAAAAGGTCGACAGTTCCGGCCACTCCTTGGAAGCCCTGTGGGGCAGTTTTGCTCTGTCCTGTAGGGTTGCTATGAATTGGAATCGACTTGACAGCAGTGGGTAATCTAGAAGCACTGTGTAGCACAGATTAAGGCTAAGACTATTATGGCAGTGTTTTAGACGAGAAACATAAAGGCCTGATCTGGAGTTGTGCCAGTAAAACTGGGAAGGCAGGGGACATGTGTAAGAAATATGAAGGAGGTAGTTTTTGGAAGCTGCTGGGTTGGAAGAGGAGGGATAAATTGCTGAATGATTGGAGGCTTTGGGTGTAATTTACACTGAATACATTTCTATTTTGAGATTTTCATCTCCAGTCACTATCAGTGTACTTTAAAATATTTTTTTTTTTATAAGCTTACTTACTTCCATTAACCTTTAATAGCACATGAGCATTCATCAGAAGCAGGTCTGTTCTGTCTCTGTTTTTCCCGTGTTGCTTTGCACCTTATGAATTATTTCTATGTATTTGCAGGTAGCCTTCTCAAGAGTCCTAGTCCTTTCTATCAGTTTGAGAGGAATTTCAGAATGTTTACTAATATCCCCCTCATAAACCAGTTGCTGTTGAATTGATTCCAACTCATGGAAACCCCACATGTGTTAAAGCAGAACTACGTTCCATAGGGTTTTCAATGGCTGATTTTTTGGAAGTAGATCTCCAGGCCTTTCTTTTGAGGTCCCTCTGGCCTCAAACCTCCAACCTTTTAGTTAGCAGCTGAGGGCATTAATCATTTGTACCACCCAGGAGCTCCTTTACCTCCAGCAAATCATGCTGTAATTGTTTCAAGCAGTAAGTTGGCCTTCATTCAGAAATTTCAAAAGAGAAGATTCCACGGTAACCATCTATATTTGAGTGTGGAATAAGAAATTCTTCATTAAAGAATTCATGAGTCATAATGAGATTTTTCCTGCTCCAGTTTAAGCTCTTTTCTCAGCCTGTAAAAAAGTACATAAACAGAATGGCAACCTCTTTATAATATCCCCAGATTGTATACATGCTGCCTTTTTACTTTTTTCATTGAGTGCCTAATAGTTATAGCCCAGGGACCATTTTGTAAGTTTACACCATTTATGCAAGGATCTCAGTTATCTGTCACCATTTAGTAGATGCCTACAGAAAGTGTGCCACTGATGAGGCCTTTTTTCTTCCTTTCTTTTTATTTTTTAGCATCCCAATAAAGGAAAATTATGAATAGGTACTTATTGCAGATGACTGGGACTTCAGCATTAATTCATATGTCTTAGCAACTATTATCCCAGGAATAGGCTCATTGGCAGTAAAGCCAGAGGACACTATCTTTTATCTTTTAATTTAACAGGGCAATTGCTATCTTTTATCCAGATGTTTTTGTATAATTGGAAACTTCTTAAGACAGTGATTCTTCAGCTGCTTTTGGGTTCCCTTTGATAATTGATGACAAGTTATGGGTCTTCTTCCCAGAAAAATGCACTTAAAAATTCACACAGATTTTTATATGTAATTTCATAGATCACATAGCTTTGTTCTTCTAATTTTTATTTTTAGCCAGTATGACTTCTTTGTAAATCATTTATTTATTCATTAAGTATTTTTTTGCATATGTAAGTTATCTTAATTTTAAGTGCCAGGAAGGAAAAAAATAGATTAGCAAAAGAGAATAATTGGAGAGACATTTTGTATAGGGTGGATTAGCACTGCCACTAATACTAAATGGAAACCATGAAGGTGAGAAATAAAAAATAATTCCGTAGGTGGTTTTGAATGTAAAATCATAAGTATTAGAATTATAAAAGATTACGTAGTCCCCCTACCTCATTTTACAAATGGATAATAAGACCTGGAGGTTGGGTCTAGGAGCAGAGCTGAGACTGGTCTGTTAGCCCCCAGGCGTGGCACTCTTATTTGGTTTGTGCTGATTGTACTAGACTTATCAATTCTTGGTAGCCTTAAACCAGCTGAGACATGTGATGTGAGGGCAGCTGTGCCAGCCACATCTTGTTTCTGTTCTGATATTTGGTTCCCCAGCCCCATCAGAAGAGAAACTGTTCATTTCAGCTTTTTACCAAGATTTAGATTAATACATAGTCAATTCCTGCTAATCTTCAGAAAATAGCTCAATTACTCACTGCAGTACGTAGAAGTGTATTTGATCTGGTGCTGTTGAAAATGAGAAGAATTAATTGTGCTTGGTAAAATGGAGCAAAAGTAACAGGTACAACATATAATTTTAAATGTATTGTGGCTCATGCCCATCGATTCACTGAATAGATTACTAAGCCTGTGGGAAGAAATGATCTGAAGTTACATTGTGAGACTTGATTTGATGTTCTTCTTTCTCATTTGAATTCCATACCGTCTTTTTACTTTCATATATTTCAATCCATAAGTATTTGAGTGCCCCCTGTGTGTTGGCCACTAGGAATACAATGAAAACCAAAGCAAACATTGTCTCTGCTCTTCTGGATCTTACAGTCTAATGGGAAAGGTAAACATTAATAAATAATTGTTTCAGTGACCACATATTTACAACCTGAGGTAAGGGCTGTGAAGAAAAGGAAAACTTTTCTATAGCACATGTAACAAAGGACCCTAGACTAGGGGGTACAGTGCTTCCCTGTGGATACTTAAGCTAAGAACTGAAGAGTAACCCGCTGCCGTCGAATTGATTTTGACTCCTAGCAACCCTATAGAACAGATTAGAACTGCCCCATAGGGTTTCCAAGGAGTGGCTGGTGGATTTGAACTGCCAACCTTTTGGTTAGCAGCCAAGCTCTTAACCACTGTGCCA